TAAATAATAGAATACTATTTTCTAATTTTATTTCTATGCGACTTTACCGAAAGAACCAAAGAGTAATTCCTGCAGTCACGAAAGCTTCAAATCAAGTTTTAACACGTTTCATTTTAGTTTCAAATAAGATTGTCAAATTAGCCTTATGAGTATTTATTTTTATTGAAACGTCTAGCCACAGTTGCGACGAGAACTCACCTGACTTTATTCTTGCCTGAGCCAGAGGAAGTTTCTGTGCTTGACAGTTAGCCACATTACAAAACTATGCACGTCTCAATGTGTGCAGATTTCCGTTTATCTCACAGAACAACATGGCTTGCGTTCATTAGGGAGCTTTCATCTCCAGGTGCGATCCGCTCAAGATCCTGGGACAAAAATGCAACTCACCTGCTTTTCATCCAGGATACGTTTAAGGCCCCAAACAACTGAAAGTTGTAACGTAATTGTCCCTGATTACTCTGCCATATAAATAACAATTCGATGCTAAACTGTCGATTCCGTGTGATAACCGCTCTTGCAATTGGAACTGCTACGTGCCCTCGTCTGTTTACTTACTCGCTCAATAATCACCCTCAATCATGTTAATGTCTCTGTAACTTAATTATACGATGAACAGCTTAAAAGTAATTTGTCCGAGCCAATTTTCGTTAGAGGGAAAATAATTTGTCGTTCCTGTTGATTCATGTTTAGTGTACTCATTGTGACCTATCCTGTAGCGCACGCGAGGTTGTCTTTGCACTGATTTATATTTAGTTATTTCCCACTCGTTTCTACTTGGTTGTTTTCGGCTTGTTTTACACTCGCTTAATTCGTGTTGTACTTAATTTACATTGTTTTGAGACATTTCGGTGACCCAGGCGATTCTTGCGAATGCGACTATCCTAATATTTAGAGTTATCATCTGGTTAAGTTAAATAAACGTCAAACTTGACTGGCAATCTCTGGTACCAGAGACGAAGCCACTTTTGTATGACTCGAACGACTGCTGTGGCATTCTAACCACAAGTATAGATAGTATTATTATGGCAGGGTGACACAGGCCTTTCATGCTGTGTGTGTGTGTTCTTCCACCCTGTTCTGCATGGGTTTCATCTGGGCTCTCCGGTTTACTCCCACAGTGGAAAAATAAACACACGCACCGTAGCTGGTATTGGCTCAAAGCACCGCAACGCCGAATAATTACCTGCAAATTACTTAATTAGAATTACACACAACGGCAGCAGCAGCAGCAGCAGCAACCCCTTCTGTAAAAAAACTTGGCAGGACCCTCATAGAATTGAGGCTTGAGACTCAGTGACGACATAATATGCGTATCCATCTCTCGACGTAGACATATATAAAGAAATATCCCTTCATGCGTCAGCCGCACGGCATTCTGGGAGTTGCCGGTTTCAGCAGCGTTGTTTCAAGACAGGCAAACCTCTGGACCGGGTTTCAACACCCAACGTCTCATCAGCAGGATCAGGCTCGCCGCAATCACTGCCGGTGAACTGCTGATCTAACAGGAGAGGATACTCTCGTTACACGGATAAATTCACGGCTGATTTATATAATTATATAACGCACCACTCATGCGTGACGTTGATGATTATTTCGAGGCTCAGCGAGTAAACAAGTGTCATTATAATTATCAATAATAATAATAATGATGATGATCAGCATTATTATGAATAAAGCAAGGTGGAGGTCAATTGAGTTCAAAAGCATTGTGCCCAACATTCAAGCAATGATCTGCGCTAATTAAAACGAGTACCTTCGGGAGAGAGCTCAAGCTTTACCATCAGGGCTCGCTGCCGTCATTAAATAGACGGCGGCTGGACTTGGAAATTGCACACATGCTTGGATATCACGACGTATGGATGTGTGTGTGTGCGGTGGTGTAGCAGGTAGCGCGCTGCGCTATCAACCTGACCACCCGGGTTCGATTCCCGCTCACGGCCAACACCGGTGACGATTATCTATACCGGTCTTGGGCCTCCCCTAGGTCGACTCGGCCTCAAATGAGTGCCTGGTACGGTGTGTAAACATCGCCACCGGGGAGACAAAGGCGGCGGGCGTCGTGTCGGCCACCCTCCCCTCGTGTGCCGTGCCGGCCTTCATAGGTGCTGGTCGCTAACAGCACTTGCCCCAACAGGCTATACTGGGATCTTTGTCTTTGTGTACAAACTGACGAGGAAAATCGCCGCGAATGGAGGTGGGGTGGTCAACTCTGCTCGAGTCGGACCTGGCCCCGAGCAAGACGACTCCACAGAGTTGTGGCCGCAAATTGAGAGTACGTGAGTACGTGTGTGTGTTGTACTTCTTTCTCACCGTACGTAGCCAACCGTGCTAATCGGTGTTGAATCTATGGTGCGGTGTTTAACCTACGGGTGCAGTGTTAGTCTATGGTGCAGTGTTGTGTGTATGTGTTGCCCTTCTTTCTTACGTAGCCAGAGAGAGTCCAAGCCAAGCTCGACACCCTCGAAGCAGCGTTAACAAATTGCGTTCACGCGCATCAAGCAAAGCGTGCGGTGACTCTGAACGGTTTGATGCCGATTTGAGCAACAAAAAAAGTAAACCCGTAAAAACAAAGTTTTTCACTCTAAATCCTTCATATGCGTGGCGGCTAGAGTCCTCTCGTCCTCTGGCTTGAGATGGCTGCAATCTATGGGTCAGATGATTGTCTGCCAGTATTAAGCAATTGGTAATTAAATATTTAATTTGTTTTCCCTAAACAGTGTAAAATTTTGGAAAAAAAATGTCACGAACATTAATTGTCTCGCACAACGAGTCTGTGTGCAAAATGTCAGCTCGATTGGATCACGGGAAGTGGGTTAAAAACGAGCGAAAGATTTGCACGGTCCTAAGCAAGCAAGCGGACTTAATATAAAGGATTTAAAAATATATTCGCCTGTGGAGGACGCGGGGATCGATCCCGCGACCTTTGGCATGGGAAGCGAGGGCGCTACCAACTGCGCTACTCCGCCACGGCCTGTGGGGGGGTTACGCTCTGGGCTCCTATACTGTGACGTTCAGCCAAAGCCAGGAATGAGTTCTATTTGAATAAATGTAAAATATTTTTATTTTTGCCTAAAAAGTGTAACATTTTTGATTATTTTTTTCACGAACATTAATTGTCTGTCACAACGAGTCTGTGTGGAAAATGTCAGCTCGATTGGATCAGGGAAGTGGGTTAAAAACGACCGAAAGATTTGCACGGTCGTAAGCAAGCAAGCACGCAAGCAAGCGAACTTAATATAAAGGATTTAAAAATCGTTGGCAGACCTAGCAGCTCGATTGCAGCTGTATAAAAACAAAAATCAGGCAACCCATTTGAAGGCTGGTGGGAAATTAAATAAAGAAATGTTTATTTTTTTAAGTACACTATAAAAAGTTAATTTGAAATAAAAAAAATCATAAAGCCTGCACATCAGTGGCCACTTTACCATGCATTTAATTTATATATATTGCAATTTACAAAAAAACATAGGCATACCCACAATGTCTATTATTTGACACGATGTTATATATCAGTGTAGGTAAATAATACATTGTTAATAATGATCAAGTTTACGAGTAATGTACCCGCACAGTATTGGCTCACTCTCGTACAGAGAGAGAGAGCGATTCAGAGGAACCACAGACTAGCGGCAAGGGAGCAGCCATGCGGTAAACCAGCACCAACAATTAGCCCAAGCTCTGCGGCCCTTTGTATATAAAGCTGTTAATGTTAAACTTCATGGACAGTGGCCTACAGAATGCAAAAACATGAGCATTGTTTTTTTTGCATCACATTCCAGGAAGGTACAAAACTAAAAAGAAACCACGCAATTGGGTGCTACTTTATTCCATTATTTAATGGAATGTCCCAGAGCAATGTGACTGTTGAACTCTTCTGCTGTTATATATATATAGAATAAGAAAAATTCATCTCGAAAATGTGTGGCTCCTGGAGGATATAGAATAGAGTTGCCACCATTGTGCTTTTCAAATTCCCACCTCTGTGCACGGAGGGCTGTGTGAACTGCGGTGCATTGTGGGAGCGGCTCCCACAATGCACCGCAGTACGTGCCAACTATGTTGTATTTTTAAATCCTTTATATTAAGTTCACTTGCTTGCTTGCTTAGGACCGTGCAAATCTTTCGGTCGTTTTTTAACCCACTTCCCGTGATCCAATCGAGCTGACATTTTCCACACAGACTCGTTGTGCGTGACAACTAATGTTCGTGAAAATCTTTTTTCAAAATTTTACACTTTTTAGGACAAAAATTGTATATTTAATTACCAATTGCTTAATGCTGCCATGCAATCATCTGACCCATAGGTGGCAGCCATCTCAAGCCAGAGGACGAGAGGACTCTAGCCGCCACGCATATAAAGGATTTATAGTGAAAAACTTTGTTTTTACGGGTTATACTTGTATCAGGTAATGCCCACTGAGCGGTGCAGCTCTTTCTCAGAAGCCCCCTGGCCACAAATGATAGCTCAACGAAGTTGCTTATCGTGCTGACATTTATTGCAGCCAAATACTCTAAACGCACGTTTCTAAATGTGGAGGGAAAACCCGGATAAAAACCCACACGACCATGGGGAGAACACGCAAACTCCAAATATACAGACGTCGGGGTTGGGATCAAACCCACAACCTCCTGTATACAAGGCAAGGTAGTTAATCTATCCACAGTGACGCCCTTGATCAGTGGCGTAGCTAGGATATTTTGCGCCCGGGGACGAACTATAAAATTGGCGCGCCCCCCCCCCCCCCCCCGTTTAATCACATACCAAAATGTAATTACGTGACATGTAGGCTGTGTGTGGCGGGATATATAAACTTATAGGTTGAGGTGTAGATTTGTGCAGTAGTTTCAGGCTGCCGCGCCCGCCGCAATAAGTTATAATGTAACGTTGTAAGCCTCATGTTGGCGCCCCTTTACCTTGGCGCCCGGTGACATATGTACCCCCTGCCCCCCCCCTAGCTACCCCTCTGCCCTTGATGTAAATGAGGTCATGGGTCACCCACCTCGTCCTGAACGGCGATGGGAAGGGCTTCTGCCGTGATTGAGACCGCTGCAGGGCGCCACAGCGGGGCACCTGGAAGCCACTTCAAAAATAAAAAGTAATGTTTCACTCGTTCACTCAATCTCATAGAAACAAGATGTCTCGCATGCGCGAGGCATCTTGTTTCTCTGATGATTCGCTTCCACGCAGTACTAAGACGGTAGCTATCCCAACGGTTAAAGTTATTTTGATTTATTTCAATTTCGATAGATTCTCTAATTGGTTTTGGCCAGTCGTAGCTAGTTTTCAATTCTAGCTACTACTGACCAAGACGAATTAATTATCTAATTAGTCTTAATCGTTCGCATAGCTACCGTCTTAGTGCCGTTTGGAAGCGAATCATCAAATAATATATTATTTAAATGCATGCCTACAAAGGGAAGCGTACTTCAATAGGGATTTCCGTTGGTAGAGCTATTTTAATAAACACAATAGGCAGGAAGGACAAGTTCAGAGGGCTCGCATAATACACATGCATATTGTTCATTGACTAAGTAATCCCCCCCCCCTCCCCACATTGTGCAAGAGCGCAGAAGCGTGGTCACCACATCTACGCCTCTATATAACAAACGAAACAGATGGAATTCTCCACAAATCTGTCTGTCGTCTGATGAAGCTAGTTGTAATTACTGGCGAAACGTCGTACTCAGTTTGTAAATGTTGTGGCTTGGCTCTCCAACACACTGGTGTGCCGTACTAGTGACGAATTGGCCACGTTCTGTTTACGTGACAACCCTTACTAGTTGGCTGTGTCGGGTGGTGGCGGGTTTTAACGACACATTTATATATTTATACACGGTCTAACCCCAAAAAAACTCTCATGGATGATATTGGTCGCGAAAGTCTACGCGTTAAACCTCACGCAACAATTAGGAGGCTCCAGTTCGTGCAGAATGCAGCTGCTGCGCGGATGATCGGGCGGGTTCGCCGTTTTGAACACATCACGCCCACCCTTCCCAATTCAAGGTAGCTCCTCCTCTCTAACATACAAAACACTTCGTGGCTTACCCCCTCAATCCGTCTACCCGGCAACCCACATCGCCCTCCAACCCTCGGGCACGTTCTGCCCGCTCCGTCGATCCACGGCAACGGCGATCCTGCTGTGCCCAGCCCAGGATTGTTCGCCCAACGACGCTGGGCACGCGCGAAGGCGTCGAGTGTGCAGCCCCCCCCCCCCCCCCCAGCGTCTGGAACGCCGCCGAATGCCTCTCGATGCCGTGGCCTGCTCCCAGACTCGCCTTCCCATTAGTGTCTTAACATCTTAAGAAGGGAAATAAGAAACGGTTTCTTTTACGCATTACTCGTTTGATTTCGTTTATTCGACTGCTCGTTTTTTTTCTTCGGCTATTCGTTCCGTACGCCTGCACTCTATTTTTGTCGCGTGGTGGCAATTTTACTTCAGTGTGTTAGCCGCCGAGGTCGTGACAGGTTTTTGGCACGTAAAATAAAGATTGATCGATTGCTTGAAAGCAGCAGCAGCGGCAGCAATAAAGTGAGCCAGCACCAACAATTTCCCGAGCTCTGCGGTTCTCTCCATGTTAAGGTGTGATTCGCCAATGGGTACTTACACGTGGGAGGAAACCGGGGCACCCGGGATAAAACCCACGCGTGTGAGGGAGCAACGCTCTATCCCACACAGACGGAAAACACGTGTGGTGTCCCCCCCGTTTTTGCCGTACCGCCTTCATGGCGACGCGCACGGGAAGAGAGTTTCGCAAATGTTCGTGTGATCCACAAACACTCGCTGCTGCCTCCAGTGCTGAATTAGGTGCCACGTGCATGGCCACCACCCTCCGGCTTGCTTGATTGTTGCTTTTATAATTAACTTCATGAATTCACCTTCAGAGTCAGCTTGAATTATTCACCTGCAAAATAACAGGTGTTCGTTTTTGCGAGTGTTCCTTTTAATTAACTTGTTTAACTTGGAGATGTCAGCTTTTTTTTTATCAACAAGACTCCGTAATAATTCTCATTTGGGGTTAAGTTTCATCACTTATTCTTACAAATGTTAACATTTGAATTTACAGTTGGAGAAGTTTGACTAGCATCGCTGTAATGAGGATCTCGATGTTTTCTAGCCAAATGTTACATCCATTCAAGTTGTTATTACAACCCAGCTCCAAATATAATGCTATTTTTTTTACATGCAATGTTTATGCGGTTTTAGTGCGACTAAATAAAACAAGGGGACAGTACACAGTCCAAAAGCAAGTAAATAACACATGCTATAGAAAAAAAAGATAATGACAGTAAATTAAAATGAAAATCCTCAAAATCAAGGTTTTTACAAATATTCTTGGTTCTTTGGGTAAAGTCACGTAGAAGGGAAATAATAAAATAATAAAAATAGAACATAATAAGATAATGTTATATTTTATTATTTATTATTTCCTTTCTACGTGACTTTACCGAAAGAACCAAGAATATGAATCCATCCAGTCACAAAAGCTTTAAATCGAAATTTTTACAGATAGCTATTAATAGCAGGAGTAAAATACGAATATTACTAAGATGATTATAAAAATAATAAAATAATAATTATCCTGCTACAGTATCACAATTGTTATTTCAGAGGCTGTCAATAGAAGTAGACCCCTGTAATAGGCGTTTCTACTCCTCTTCAAAGTGATGGATTCATCATCATAGATCAGAATCACGGACGAGGTAGGTGCTATCTTTATACAAGTCATCGCGTAACATTGACATTATGATTATTATTTACTGATTTTTGTTATTCTGTATTTCTCGATCACTAAAAAAAATTTCACCGAGTCAAAACATGCCCCTCCCTACCACCATCCCACAGACGCACTTCATAAAGAACATCGCAATCGTGTTGCGATGTTTCACATCACATCAGTTTCGGAAAAAGCCCTCGTCTGAATCTTGTTGGCATGTGCAGGACACGATGATGAAATTAAATAAAAAAGAATGCTGACTCTGGTGTGGACCAATCAGTTTCAAAGACAATGCATAAATTACCAGAGTGTTGTTTTTGTTTGCATTTGACTGCAGGTATTGTGGTTAATGTAGACATGATTCCTTGCAAAAGGTGTCAGTTTTGTTGCCAGAAAAAAGGGGAAAACCCCGATTAGTAAAAACAAGCGTTGTTGTATTTTCATTTACACTTTAGAAAGTAGATCCATACATTATTCAAGGGGGTTTTGTTTTGTTGTTCGCTTTTTAAAATCAGCGACGGTGACCTGAACGGATCGCTGCTCCCTGCCCGGGCTTCGGATCTGCACAGCGCCAGCGGGGCGGCGTTGGGCGATGAGAGCGATTCCTCCCTCCTGGCGCGGCGACGTTTCAGAGGCGCGTGGCTCACCCGACACTTTTCTCCACCCGACGTTTTGATCGTTTTTTCTTTGTTGTTGTTGTTTCGCGTGATCCCGCGAGGATTTTTCGTGGCGCACCACTCTCGATGGGGAGGTTTTTGTTGTTGTTGTTGTTGTTATTGTTGTTGTTGCGAGTGTGGGCGCTTGGCTGCGTTCGAACAGAGAAGAGTCCGTGAATGTGGAATGGCAGACCTCGATGGGGGCGGGGGGGGGAGGCAGTTTTCGATCACGTGCTGGAGCTGCGATGCGAGGCTCAGCCAACGAGTCTGTGGCCGCGCTGAGCGCTGGGAGTAAACGCTCGAAGCAGACGCCGCGGGCAATGAGTTTGGATAATTTGGGGTTTTAAAATGGGGCCATAATTCTAGATTTGAAGCTTTCGTGACTGCAAGGATTCATATTCTTAGGTTTTTTTCGATAAAGTCACGTAGGTAAAACATTAAAATTAATAAAAGTAAAATAAAATAAAAATCACGACGTTTCGGAGGCAACACATGCTTCCGTCTTCAGGTGGAACCGTCACAGCCACGACAGCTGTATCAGTAACTGAGAGATTTGCAGAGCTACCACTCCGTAGTATATATATATAAGACGGAAGCTTGTGTTGCCTCCGAAACGTCGTGCATTTTTATTTTATTTTACTTTTATTAATTTTAATGTTTTACCTACGTGACTTTACGGAAAAAAACTAAGAAAATGGGCCATATTTAAATGATTAAAATCGTGATGAAAACCGACTTGAAATGAAATGGCATTGTAAACGTTCTTTGTTTTTGCCTAAAATATTATGTGATATGAATAAGCTCTGACAGTTGCGAATTAATTTAAATGAAATGTAAACTAGATGTTACCAATTATAAGGTGTGTGAATTCAGCCACGCCTGCCAGCGCGAGCATCCCTCTCGGGGTTCATGGGAAGTTAGCAGCACTTGTACTATGTATAGATTGGCACTTGGCATGCGTAATTTCCATCAGTAGCTTAGAGTTGGCAACCGGAGATGAGAATCACCCCAAGGATTGTGTGTGCAAGGAAACGCGAGGAAACTTGTACGTTGCATTATAAAATAGAAGCCATATGTCCCTATCTATGCTGAAATGCTTTGGCATGAATTTAGATTTAAAGCTTTCGTGACTGCAGGGATTCATATTCTTGGTTCTTTCGGTAAAGGCACGTAGAAGGGAAACAAAAAATAATAAAAAAATATAAAAAAATAAAATATGTTTTATAAATTATTTTATTGTTTCCCTTCTACGTGATTTTACCGAAAGAACCAATAATACTTTGGCATGGTATGTAGTCAACCGTGCCAATCGGAGATGCGGGAGACAGACAACAATGAGAAATATATCAGAATTAACGTCACGTTATCATGAAGTTAAATTAGGGGCGTCACGGTGGCGAGATGTTAACAGTCTCGTCGAGTAGACAGGATTTCGTGGATTCGATCCCGACGCCGACAGCTGCTGTATATTTGGAGTTTGCGTCTTCTCACCGTGGCCGCGTGGATTTTTCGCCGGGTCCCCCGGGTTTTCACTCCACATTTAGAATCAAATCATGCATTAAAGTATTGGCTGCGATAGATTTACACGTAATTAGCCATTTCGTTGAGCTGTCATTTGTGGCCAGGTCGCTTCTCAACAAGATCGGTATAGCTTACCTGACATAAATAATATATTAATAGCTAATAGTTAAAAACAGGGTGCTTCAGAAAAATGCAAACACTTCTGAGAATTTGCAACAACAACCACAGGAAACGTGCCTCTGGGCTCTGGAGACCACCTGGAGAAGATTCCAGGCCATGCGTTGACAACGACTTTTTGACTTTGTGAAGCTATTAACATTACACGTGTTATCGTGTTAGTGTTGTACTATCCGTTCTTTTTAAATTTAAAACAATAGTCCCATATAAACATTGTGGCAAAATTGTTTTGAAGCACCCTGTGATTACTATACTCTTTGGTTCTTTCGGTAAAGTCACGTAGGTATAAAAATAAAAAAAAAAATATTATATCACGACGTTTCGATCGCAACACAAGTGGTCATCCACAGGCGGGAAAAAAACACATTCCTGCGGAGGGAGCTGGTAGGAACGTTGAGTTGCTCGGTCAATGGCCAGGGTCAATGGCGGCGTGGTGTATTCCGCAAATATGCCCGACTGTGAGGGCGGGCACAAGCCGGCGTGAGTATGTTAAACGTTTG